CGAACTTTAATATGGAGACCCCACTCACAGACATTACATATATACTGGCCAGGCCTTAATTCCCTTAGTGCCGAGCCCCGTGCAGAGTTACAACACGTTCCATCTTTTATCGTAGGACACGGCGAGGGATGGAGCACCGACCTTCCGCTCTCAGGGCAGATATAACATACAAGGCCTACACCAATGTTACACAATATAGTGGCTGTTGACATGGCGAGGACCAAGATCTCGTGATCATTTAATGAGTGCATTTGATATTTAATCTTCAGTACCCAGATGTTTATACATATACGTTTATAGCGATGAAGGAACGTATTCACTATGGTTCCCCACAACAATATAAACTAAATCATATTCCGCATATATATCGCCAAACGTTTTAGAGTTAACCGAAAGCATTACCGCAGTAAATGGGGTTTTACGAAATTGTTGGCTGTTAATCCCAGTTCCGGTCACTGCATTCGTTTATGTAAGTCGTTGAGCACTACACAAATCACTGTTAGCCTGAACAGATCCGGGCAGTTTGTACTTAACATGGTGAGATTCAGGGAGTAGTAAGTGTAGACGTGTCGAGGACTCGCGGTATTCCGAACGGGTTCATAACATGGCAATGCATGAATATACATGTCGCAGGCTCCAGTGACGGTCTGAAGTCTCACTACCATAGCATCATCCCAGTCTTCAAGAAAATGACCGCCTCCGTGGTCTAGTGGTAGAGCGTCCGCCCGGAGAGCGGAAGGTCCGGGGTTCCGTCCCCGTCATACCAAAAGACGTTAAAAGATGGTACTTGTTGTTATCCTGTCTAGCGCTCGGCATTAAGGGGCTAAAACAAGGACCGGTCGGCTCGGAGTTAGTATACTGTGTCTGAGTGGGGTATTCATGTTAAACTGCGGCATGGTATCTTAGTGAGCTGGCACTATAAATCGGCATCAGTCCGGACTAGTACAAGCAGCCACACACACACACACGTGCATGCACGTCGGTATATAAGTGCGATAATCTTGGACGCGACGTTAAACCCCATTTCACCTCACCCACTTTCAGAAAAAGACCGATATCTCATTGTTCTGTGTGGTTTGGATGAGCCGTTATTAGTGTTACAAGTACAGTAACGGAATTTCTGTGGTTACGCTTTAACATGTTGAACAATGATAAGTTTATTAGACATACAACCATTTGTCACCACTCGCCACTTTCCGTAACCTGCAAGACGACTCGTCCCTCTATCGATGAATGTTATGTGCGAAAATACGACAAACCAATCAGAATGCGCGTATGATTGCAGGTTCTTTGTCAAAGAATCCCTCAGAAATAATTTTGATTTTACATATGTCTTGCATCTAAAAATATACCCAAGGCACAGATAAATGTGTTCAGCCATACTGTATAATTCCGCATGTCCAGATGTGCTTTAAATTGCATCTGAAATCTATATAATATATGGGGAAATAAATGTGAACCATTACGCGACGAGTTGACATGTATTTTTGGTTTGCCCGTTTGCGCTAAGACGGAACCCAGTCGCAAAAATGGCCACGAGAGGGGCACGGGTCGCTGTTCGGCTTGTCCCGGAATAACACGAGTTGGTCACGAATGGACATACAACGTGTCAGGAACACTACAATTACGTGTTTGTAATTTGAGAAAATTATTAAATTTTCCTGTAAACGTGCCTGTGAAGTTGTGTGATATAAGCACACCGTACATAAACCCCATTAACGCATCTGTGTCGCCATAACGAGGTACACATGAACGTTGAATAAAAGCACGGATTTCACTCGGAACGTAAAACGGGCAGCAATTCAGCGGCAGACAGAAAAAACACCAACGTCTATTTTAACATTATCTTTTCTATCGAAAAAGGTAATCGTGTTATATCGGCGTTTGACGAAGGAGAATGGGATGGGACGCTCTAGAAAGGATCTGTTACGAATGTGTTTATCGTCAATCGCGCCATGAATACTCTCTCGGAAGGAGTTATTGCTTGCGTCGTAAAGCTGTAACAGTAAGTCGGGGGCGAGATATTAGAGAGGGAAGTGTGGCTATAGCTTGCAAACATACGAATATCCACATACAGCGGTAATGGACATGACTCCTTGCAATGCGAGATTGAAGATATATGTTCAAAGGATCCATCCACACTGAATGACTGATTGAGATATCGTGTAATTAAGCATGAAGAGTGGACTACTGACTGACTTAATAGGGAGTAAAGTAGTTGAGTGAAATGTGATTTTGTGTGACTTCTATGTCGGGTGTTACAACTGTTAGCCATTAAGTAAATACGTGTGAGGTATGTCTGCTCTGGTGATATAAGAAGCACGATGAATTACGTGTACAGGTAGGGGTGTGGTGTGGTGGGTGTGGGTGCGGGTGTGAGTGCGGTGTGGGTTTGAGTATGAGTGTGAGTGTGAGTGTGGTGTGGTGGATGAGGGTGATGTGGTGGGTGATGGTGTGAGTGTGGTGTGGGTTTGAGTATGAGTGTGAGTTTGAGTGTGATGTGGTGGATGAGGGTGATGTGGTGGGTGATGGTGTGGGTGTGGTGTGGTGTGGTCGGTGAGGGTGTGGTTGATGAGGGTGTCGGTGTGGGTGCGGGTGTCTGGGTGAGGGTATGGTTGATGTCGTGGGTGTGGGTGTGGTGTGGTGTGGTGTGGTGTGGTGGGTGAGGGTGTCGGCGTGGGTGCGGGTGTCTGGGTGAGGGTATGGTTGATGTCGTGGGTGTGGGTGTGGTGTGGTGTGGTGGGTGAGGGTGTCGGCGTGGGTGCGGGTGTCTGGGTGAGGGTATGGTTGAGGTCGTGGGTGTGGGTGTGGTGTGGTGTGGTGTGGTGGTGAGGGTGTGGTTGGTGAGGTGGGTGCGGGTGAGTGTGTGGATGTCGTGTGATTGGTGAGGGTGTGGTGGGTGAGGGTGTGTGGGGGGTGGGGGTGGGGGGTTGGGGGTATGGGTGTGGTTGGTGTGGTTGGATGCGCATCGATCTACGCAACTGGGATACAATGACATGCATCAACCAAGTCATCGTGCCTGACCACCTGATCCAGTTAGTCGCCTCTCCCGACAAGCATGGGTTGCTGAAGACCAAGTCTAACCCGGATATTCACGGGTCCACTCATGTATACGTAGGACATATTGTTAAAGCTTGTAACTGACAGATGGAATAACGCATAATTTCAAGTAAAACATGTGCGCGGATGTATGAAGTATGAGATAAAATTGATGGAAATGATGAACGAATTAAGGAATACATTGATTAATCAATATGTGCCACACATAGTCACTGTTCAAAAAGATAACCTTTGAAGATGATAACTATGATTCTAAGGAAGAAATTATTAACATTAAAGTTGATGTCATGACATCAGAAGGTGACCTGACGTCTTGTCATTTTGGCATGTGATCTGATCCCACTCCGACGTGAGTGGACCCTTGAAGATCCGGGGTAGAATAGGTCTTCAGCAACCCATGCTTGCCGCAAAAGCCGACTATGCTTGCCGTAAAAGCCGACTATGCTTGCCGTAAAAGGGGACTAACGGGATCGGATGGTCAGGCTCGCTGACTTGGTTGATGCATGTCATCGATCCCAAATGCGTGGATCGATGCTCATGATATTAATCACTGGATTGCCTGGTCCAGACTCGATTATTTACAGACCACCGTCATATAGCTGGAATATTGCTGAGTGCGGCGTTGAACAACAAACCAACCAACCGACGTGAATGAGATCGGATTTATATTCATGCGGATTCAGACGTGTTAACGTAATTCGAAACCTCTGGCTGACTGATCAGAATTGTACAGTCTTCAAAGTCATACTAACATAAATAATATACTCTGATAAGAATCCATCACACGCGGAGATATGTTTTCCATAAAACAAAGTATTTACATGACTTTTAGGATAGAAATATTTTAGATGTATACCGTGTTTGTTCTGTCGGGTCACAAACACGAAGCAGTTAAAGGAAAACGAGGAATAACATGTCTATTGTTGGTTTACTGGAGACAAATTGTTGACTTCCTGATTGACCTAGGAAAGGAAAACAGAACATAGTCGACAGAGCTTTTAATGTTTAATGGCACTTTTCCAGTTCAAACATATTTAAATATTATATTCTTTTTCAACATCAAAGATACAGTTTTAAAATAGTTACCAACGAATTACTTGTTTATTTGTTGTTTCCAAACGTTGTCACGCCGAGTCTTTTAATTTCGTTCATTGCTAAAAAGAACTTTCTTGATGTCCCTTGTATTTCATCTTGATTCTCTTTCCGATGCATAAGATCTTAATAACTGAATATGAAATATTGTATTTTAATATACGATTATGAATGTGAATGCAGATTATAATGCGTACATTGCATCTCAAAGTAGACACAAATTATGAATAACAACTTCTTTATGTACTGTTATCCATAAATTGTGTCTACTTTGTCATCCGTCAACTTCTAGGTAATGCTTATCAGACAAATTTATTTGTACATTGTACCAATCATAGTCCCAGCTGTGATATTGCTGAAGGATTGCTTAAAGGGTTGGAAAATCAGGACCTGTCGTCCAACGTACACGGTGTTCGTGATGTCACTGGATTGTCTGGTCCAGAATCGGTTGTTTTCAGGGCGACGTGATGTGGCAGGAGTATTGCTGGGTGTGACATTGGGCAACATACAAATACTTAATTTTGATGCACAATGTGTGAGTGTTACTAGACCAGGACATAATTTTCCGTTTCGCGAACACCTGTGTGTCATCACTGATTTTCAGTGATCGATTCATCACAATTCTTGCCTTTCACGCCCACTGGAATCTGTTTCGACGGATAATCGAGACTGGTTGTTTTCTGGCGTTGACGTTTCATATCTTATAATATGTGTAACCAATGTTGGTTTTAAGCCAGATATATAGGGGTACTTCCCAAGGACCTGAGAAAGCAAATATTATTGAACAGATAATAATAATAATATCAATACAAAATTATGTACCTTTATGGCCATTATGCGCCAACATTTCAGAATATGTTGAAAGTGGACACAGTGGAGTGGTAGGGGAGAGGCACCAGGACAGGGGAGTGACACGAGGACAGGGGAGTGGCAGGGGAGTGCCACCAGAACAGGGGTGTGCCACCAGGGCAGGGGAGTGGCACCAGGACAGGGGAGAGGCACCAGGACAGGGGAGTGCCACCAGGACAGGGGAGTGCCACCAGGACAGGGGAGTGACACCAGGACAGGGGAGTGGCAGGGGAGTGCCACCAGGACAGGGGAGTGACACCAGGACAGGGGAGTGCCACCAGGACAGGGGAGTGGCACCAGGACAGGGGAGAGGCACCAGGACAGGGGAGTGACACCAGGACAGGGGAGAGGCACCAGGACAGGGGAGAGGCACCAGGACAGGGGAGTGCCACCAGGACAGGGGAGTGGCTCCAGGACAGGGGAGAGGCACCAGGACAGGGGAGTGCCACCAGGACAGGGGAGTGACACCAGGACAGGGGAGTGACAGGGGAGTGAAACCAGGACAGGGGATTGCCAGGGGAGTGACACCAGGACAGGGGAGTGACACCAGGACAGGGGAGCGGCACCAGGACAGGGGAGAGGCACCAGGACAGGGGAGTGCCACCAGGACAGGGGAGTGCCACCAGGACAGGGGAGTGACAGGGGGGTGAAACCAGGACAGGGGATTGCCAGGGGAGTGACACCAGGACAGGGGAGTGACAACCAGGACAGGGGAGCGGCATCAGGACAGGGGAGTGACAGGGGAGTGCCACCAGGACAGGGGAGTGCCAGGGGAGTGACACAAGGACAGGGGAGTGACACCAGGACAGGGCAGTGACACCAGGACAGGGGAGTGACAGGGGAGTGACACCAGGGCTGGGGAGTGACACCAGGGCAGGGGAGAGACACCAGGACAGGGGAGTGACACCAGGACAGGGCAGTGACACCAGGACAGGGGAGTGACAGGGGAGCGGCATCAGGACAGGGGAGTGACAGGGGAGTGCCACCAGGACAGAAAAGTGCCAGGGGAGTGACACCAGGACAGGGGAGTGACACCAGGGCTGGGGAGTGACAGGGAAGTGACACCAGGACAGGGGAGTGACACCAGGACAGGGGAGTGACAGGCAAGTGACACCAGGACAGGGGAGTGACACCAGGGCTGGGGAGTGACAGGGAAGTGACACCAGGACAGGGGAGTGACACCAGGACAGGGGAGTGACAGGGAAGTGACACCAGGACAGGGGAGTGACACCAGGACAGGGGAGTGACACCAGGATAGGGGAGCGGCATCAGGGCAGGGGAGTGACACCAGGGCAGGGGAGAGACACCAGGACAGGGGAGTGACACCAGGACAGGGGAGTGACAGGGGAGTGACACCAGGACAGGGGAGTGACAGGGAAGTAACACCAGGACAGGGGAGTGGTAGGGCAGTGACACCAGGACAGGGGAGTGACAGGGAAGTGACACCAGGACAGGGGAGTGGTAGGGGAGTGACACCAGGACAGGGGAGCGGCATCAGGGCAGGGGAATGACACCAGGACAGGGGAGTGACACCAGGATAGGGGACTGGTAGGGAAGTGACACCAGGACAGGGGAGTGACACCAGGACAGGGGAGCGGCATCAGGGCAGGGGAGTGACACCAGGACAGGGGAGCGGCATCAGGACAGGGGAGCGGCATCAGGGCAGGGGAGTGACACCAGGGCAGGGGAGCGGCATCAGGGCAGGGGAGTGACACCAGGGCAGGGGAGAGACACCAGGGCAGGGGAGTGACACCAGGGCAGGGGAGAGACACCAGGGCAGGGGAGTGACACGAGGGCAGGGGAGTGACACCAGGGCAGGGGAGTGACACGAGGGCAGGGGAGAGACACCAGGGCAGGGGAGTGACACCAGGGCAGGGGAGTGACAGGGAAGTGACACCAGGACAGGGGAGTGGTAGGGGAGTGACACCAGGACAGGGGAGCGGCATCAGGGCAGGGGAATGACACCAGGACAGGGGAGTGACACCAGGATAGGGGACTGGTAGGGAAGTGACACCAGGACAGGGGAGTGACACCAGGACAGGGGAGCGGCATCAGGGCAGGGGAGTGACACCAGGACAGGGGAGCGGCATCAGGACAGGGGAGCGGCATCAGGGCAGGGGAGTGACACCAGGGCAGGGGAGCGGCATCAGGGCAGGGGAGTGACACCAGGGCAGGGGAGAGACACCAGGGCAGGGGAGTGACACCAGGGCAGGGGAGAGACACCAGGGCAGGGGAGTGACACGAGGGCAGGGGAGTGACACCAGGGCAGGGGAGTGACACGAGGGCAGGGGAGAGACACCAGGGCAGGGGAGTGACACCAGGGCAGGGGAGAGACACCAGGGCAGGGGAGTGACACCAGGGCAGGGGAGTGACAGGGAAGTGACACCAGGACAGGGGAGTGGTAGGGGAGTGACACCAGGACAGGGGAGCGGCATCAGGGCAGGGGAATGACACCAGGACAGGGGAGTGACACCAGGATAGGGGACTGGTAGGGAAGTGACACCAGGACAGGGGAGTGACACCAGGACAGGGGAGCGGCATCAGGGCAGGGGAGTGACACCAGGACAGGGGAGCGGCATCAGGACAGGGGAGCGGCATCAGGGCAGGGGAGTGACACCAGGGCAGGGGAGCGGCATCAGGGCAGGGGAGTGACACCAGGGCAGGGGAGAGACACCAGGGCAGGGGAGTGACACCAGGGCAGGGGAGAGACACCAGGGCAGGGGAGTGACACGAGGGCAGGGGAGTGACACCAGGGCAGGGGAGTGACACCAGGGCAGGGGAGTGACAGGGGAGTGACACCAGGACAGGGCAGTGACACCAATATCCTTGACGATATCAAGTTCAGAATTCTGGCATATTCAACAATGTTTTCAATGACAATGCCGTCTTCATTTGTCCCTCGTTCAGCCATTTTGTCAAGACGCTTTAGGTGGCTGAGGCAAATAATGGCGTCAAGAGAAAACAAACTATTGACGTTTAACCGAGGGCGCACTTTTGAAATAAAACGTGGCTCTTTAGACGATCTATTGTCACACAGATTGATTTACTTCATTGACTCGTGTATCGCTATCAGTTCCAGGCCTGTGTATTTGGAGACCGTTAACGAAGCTAGGTAATGCCTGAATATGACTCGGTGCGCGCTTCCTGTCGCAAACATTCAGAGAACATTCGTGAACGCGGTTGTATGTCAACGTGAGCGAGTAGGGGTTTGCGTCGTGCTTATCAATAGGCCAACAATAATACGCCGGAGCAACGTATAACCACCGCTCCGAAACATGACTTGCACTGTCTGTAGGATGATGGTCAAAGGTATATAAAAGCGACAAAACCCTTTCCATATTCATCAGAAATCTCTGCCAAAGCCAGAGTCGATTGTGCGTTTCCGGCTTTATTATGAGCAAAAAGTAACTTGAAGCTTATTAAACATAATTGGAACAAAAAGTAATAAAATAAGAAATTCAATGATATTCTTGTAATGATTATGTGGATGATATATTTTATATGTTGTATTTGTGGGTGATGTATAAGTGAATACTGTATTTGTGGATGATGTTTTAGTGGATGCTTTATTTGTTGAGGATATACTTGTGGATGATGTATTTGTGGATGATGTATTTGTGGATGATGTATTTGTGGATGATGTATTTGTGGATGATGTATTTGTGGATGATGTATCTGCGGATGATGTATTTTAGGATGATGTATTTGTGTGTGATATATTGTGGATGCTGTATTTGTGAATTGTGTATTAGTTGATGTATTAGTGGATGCTTTATTTGTTGAGGATATACTTGTGGATGCTGTATTTGTGGATGATGTATAGTGGATGATGTATCTGCGGATGATGTATTTTAGGATGATGTATTTGTGTGTGATATATTGTGGATGCTGTATTTGTGAATTGTGTATTAGTTGATGTATTAGTGGATGATGTATTAGTGGATGATGTATAAGTGGATGATGTATAAGTGGATTATGTATTAGTTGATGATGTATTATAGGATGATGTTTTAGTGGATCATATATTTGTGGATGATGTAGTTTTAGATGCTGTATATGTGGATGATGTATTAGTGGATTATGTATTTGTGGATGATGTATTTGTGTATCATGTATTTGTGAATGGTGTATTAGTGGATGATGTATTTGTGGATGATGTATTAGTGGATGATGTATTTGTGGATGATGTATTAGCGAATGATGTATTAGTGGATAATGTATTTGTAGTAGATGTATTAATGGATGATGTATTAGTGGATGATGCATTTGTGGATGATGTATTTGTGGATGATGTATTATTGGATGATGTATTTGTGGATCATGTATTAGTGGATGATGCATTTGTGGATGATGTATTTGTGGATGATGTATTTGTGGAAGATGTATTAGTGGATGATGTATTTGTGGATGATGTATTAGTGGATGATGTATTTGTGGATGATGTATAATCGAATGATGTATCTGTGGATCTGTGGATAAGTCGCTTAAGCAAAGGGGAATTATTATTGATGCAGTTGTCTCGTTTTCTTCTCATGTTTGAAATCTGACAAAATATCCAAGTAGTTTCGGATACCTCTTAATGCCACAGTCTTATTTGTGTATTGATCATGATCACACAAAATGGGTTTGGTATTCTCTCATGTTTCTGTGCTGGTAATCCTACTGTGGTCGCACACACATTGATTGTCACTGAAGGGATCGAGTTACGTAACGTTATGGCATCGTTCCATGAGAGACCCGTGGTGCGGCGTCCAGGAGTGTCTGTAGTTGTTCATTAAGCACTACTCCCAAGTGGGTGGTCTTCAATACCAAGATCAGAGCATTTTCTCATTGATCGTGATTAATTTTGCACGATTTTTATCTTGGCTGATCTACTGGAGGAAAAATAAAGGCAATGTTGAATTTCGGAAAGTATAATGGTTTACGTCTGATCCTTTCAGTGCCATCGATTATATCAAAAATACCTACTCTATAATTGTGGAGTGGCATGCAGAGCATTGGTCTAAGTTAGCTACAAACAGTAGTGGTTGAGGCGACAGCTGCAGGTACACTCGGGGCTACATTCGGTCATTCTCACAGTCGCCGTTTTGTGTGGACATCAAAGCGGTAGATGTTTGTGGCACCGCCTCCTACTTACATTATCTAGCCTCAATTAACGAACAGGGAAAGTGCGTGGATTGTGTCAGTCACAAATGATTTCCAACTTCAAGATCACAATGAGAATAGATCATCCAAATAAAGAAATAACGCCCAGACGGAATATGTGGCATGGTGATTCATGACGGGGACAGGTGGCAGTATAGTCTCCTCAGGGGTAGTAATACCCCAAGTGTAACATTGAATGTCTGCAGCAATAGTACATTTACAAGTAACATTGATGTTTCTGTAGCAATGGTGCATTTACAAATAATATTTTTGTCTGCAGTAACTGTACATTCACAACTAAGATTGAATTTCTGCTGCAATAGTACATGTTGTTACATAGCAGTGTATTTTAATGTTGAACAAACTGTAACTGTGTTACATTGTTTCTGTTGAGATTCGGTAGACGCCCATTGCTTTTGGACAATGATGAGTCGTCAGAAAGTTACTGTATCTAGATGCTAGTGTGGTGTGTAATCGTCCGGTCCGGTATACCGCGGCCTGTGATCGTATGTTATAGAAACATAAGGAATGTTCGAGTGCCGTTAGATTGGCGTGGGCACTGTGTAAAACATTCCAGTAGCTTGTTAGGCTGTATATGTTGTTGGAAAAGAGCGTGTTTAGGTCACTCTCATGCATTTCATCACATCGGAACCAGCTTTCATGTGAGGATCCTCCATCATACCTGATTTACTGCCTAGCCTATCTCCGAAGCTTGACCACTGTTCCCACTGGGTGAATATATACTGAACCAAATTAAAAACTTCACATTTTTAAAAGTAATCCCATATATGATATACAACGGACAAATGTATCAGAGAAGGTAATTTTTAATCATTAATGTCCAAAGAAGGATTTTAATTAACGGTGGTAACCATAATTTGTTCCAAGCACCTACAATATTCGGTAATAACATCAACAGTTTAAATCAGTCCCAAGCACGAAAATCTAATGGCACACAAGTTCAGTAGCGTGTATGGCCACCATGTGCTTTGAAAACTGCCACACAACGCCTCCGAATGGACCCTGTGATGCTTGTGAACACATGATTGGGAATACGACGCCACTGTTGCTGTAAAATGGTGCCAAGATCTTGCAAATTCTGTGGTTGGTTCTGGAGAGTGCGCAGACTTCTGCCAAGAGCATCCCAGACGTGTTCGGTGGGATTGAGGTCGGGAGACATTGACGGCTAGTCCATGACGTTGACTCCCGCATTCTGAAGGAAATTCCTTGTCAAAATTGTTGTGTGGGGTCTGGCATTGTCGTGTTGGAAGATCAAACCGGGTCCATGTGCTGCCATAAAAGGCAGAAGTTCTGGTGCCAGTACCTGGTCGCGGTAAGCAGCAGCGTTGAGGTTGCCATGGATGACAAGAAGCCTGGAACGTGCATTGCCACAGTAAGCACCCCACACCATGACACTTCCGCCTTGAAATCTGTCAACTTCCTGTACACAACACTGGGCGTAACGTTCATGACGGCGCCTCCACACCCTCGCCCTACCATCAGCAAATCGAAGATTAAATCGGGATTCATCACTGAAGACGACTTGATTCCAATTCCTCTGAGTCATTCGTAAGTGTCGCTGTGCCCACAATTGACGTTGACATCTGTGTAATTGAGTCAGAATCGGCCCGCAGTATCGTGCTTGAAGGTGAACAGTTCTCAGACGGTTTCGAACAGTTTGCGCACTTAGTCTACCCCTAAACAGTTTATTTCTAGTTGATGTAGCCGTCAAAAATCGGTTACGGAGGTGACGTAAGACAATCTGACGATCCTCCGCATGTGACGTCACACGTGGTCGACCTGGCCGAGGGCGATCAGCGGTGGTACCCGTTTGTTATAGACCGTTTGTCTGTAAATCATAAACAGTCCGTCGACTACAACCCATCGCCCTTGCAACTTCAGCTACGGACGTTCCCGTCTGCAACATGCCGATGGCACGTTCACATTGCACATTCTAAAGGCGTGGCATGACAAATGGCCGTAAAGACTTTTGTTTTCTTGTGTTTTGGTGTTTTTTTTAATGACTGCTAACAAGTATGGCTGAAAACACGTGCGGTTTTATGGCCACGTGACCAGTTGCACTTGAAAAACCACTTTTGCCACTATAGTGCTGTGCACATGATTTTGATCGATTCACCTGCACAAAAACGTATGTTATCTGAAGACAACAATAAGGGCCCACAATGATAACTGGTCAAAACATTAAAAGTTGAGGATTGTGAAGTTTTTAATTTGGTTCAATATATATTATTATCACTGACTTTTGCTATCACCGCTGTTTTTTGTATTTGATAATGACCACTGCCATCATGTTATATATTGCCGTTTAATCTTGTACTTCGACTCTCTCTTGTGTTCTGCCACTGTCACTGCTGCCCAGTATTTTGTCTTGATTTGCAAACTTAGTTAATTTTGTAATACATTTGTTGATTGTATGCCACTTGTTGGTTCTT